TTAAATCTTTGAAGATCGTAGTTGACAGGAACTCGCGAAGCCAAAAGTCTTACAAGCGAGAAGTGCGGGAGAAGAAACTATTACCATAGAACTTGCGGTTGCATTTAACAAATGCATCAGTGAAATTATGAGACCTAATTGACAATCTAGTACTGCGCTTAAATTCGTGTAGCCGTGGGTTCATCAGAATATTTGCAATGAACATATTTATGGAAAAGGCACAGAAAGCTACATTATGGCGACAGGAAAATGACTGGATCTGATATACCAGATCAGGGCCAATAACATTGCAGATTATATGAATTCTGGACAGAGATCGCATTTCAAAGTTGATGCCGTTCAACGCGATGTACAATGTTCACCGTATCTAATGTGATTTCGTAGTCGTCGACTGCAAAGTGCACTATTCGTTAAAGAAATAGTCATGAAATCAACTAGCCTATCTTGTCGGCATTAAATAACCCATTGAGATTGATATGCCGTAAAACAAACCGAACTAAATCAATATATACTGAGATAGATAGATAGATAGATAGATAGATAGATAGATAGATAGATAGATAGAAAACATATTAGCAGCAATAAAAATATTGTCAGCATTAAATAACCCACTGAGGTTGATATGCCGTAAAACAAACCAAACTAAACCAAATGGTTGAAATTTATATTTTTTCTTGAAAGGGTTTTCCAGAAAATTAGACTTTTGAAGCCCACTAACTGTTATAGCTCTTTCTAATATTGATGGGATTTTATATCCAAACGTTCTGTAGTGTAGAAAGTTAATATCTTTAATATATCCTTATTTTTTTCTTTTAGTTAAATGTGCTGCCTATCTGTTTAGTTGCTCCCGTTGAAAGTCTTCAAGGTCATGGTCCAATGAGCGCGAATGACTCATGGCTATTAAAAGTAGACCTTCAAATTAGTAACAGAAGGCAACAAAAACATCAAAAATAAAGATTCCTTCAGCTTGTCCGTAATTCTTTTACTCTTCTCTTTACCTACACTAGCCGATTCTTAACCAGTTTTTTTCTGGTTTTGCACCAAAACAAATTTAGTTTTGGGTTTGACGCAAGCAAATAAATATGTAAAAATATTAGCCGAGTTCGTAAGAAAAAATAATAAGGTTTGAATAAACATTCTGGGACAAAGAATTTTATCATCTTTCACACATATTGGAATGTTCTAGTTCAAATAATTTGTGGAATGACAAAATCTGTGTCTATTTGCCTTTTCCGTATTATGGATATTTGCACGGCAGTCAGAATAATATAAATCATGATTATCACAATGGGTGTGTTTTTAATTATTCTGAAATGATTCCAGTGATTGAAAGATGGGGTGTCATGGTGACTAACATTCATAGGGGTCACTTTCATGACCCCTATGAATGGGCTTATGAATCTAGAAATAACGTCAGAAGAAATTGACTGAAATTGCATTAAACTTCATTTAATTATTTCAATCATTTAATTCCTAACTAGCTGATAAAACTACTAAGACGAAATCGAAAGAATTTGCAAAAAAGACATTATTCAAGTGAGAAGACAATAGAAGAACAGGTTTCTAAGAGACATAAGATGACGATTGACGTTGCATACGAATATTTGAAGATCAAATTTGACAGTAAATCAATGGAATTGGCGAGAAGTGCGAGGGAAGAACCTGTTAGCCTAGAACTTACGGTTACAACTACCAATTTCAATTGGAATTATGAGGCCTACCTGCCAATCTAGTAGTTATTGAAGTCAAGGTACAAAAGCTGAACACCCATCATAATAACTGCCATGAAAATATTTGTAGAAAAGTCACAGGTAGGCTACATTGCGGCCACAGAAAAGATACTGAAACCGAGATGCCAGATCAGGACGAATAACATTGCAGATTCTTCTTGAATTCGGACAAAAATCTCTAGATATATAGAATAAGCACTAAACGAGAGTTGGCAGAAATATTCAATGTAAAAGGGATTACTTTTGGTGTAATTAGTCGAATTTTTAAAACCTTTTTATTAAGTCGATGTCTTCCCAGAAAAGGCAGAAACATATTGTTGCGAATGTAATGAAATTAGAAGGTTAACCAGAAAATCTGGGATCGAAAAACACCAATTCGTATGTGTTGTGTATGCAAAATCATGTGCACAAATATCACATATGAGAATGAAATGAAAAGTAGATAGGAATGTAATTTTCCCCACTGCCAATTTATACTCAGGATTTGGAATAACGATTTTTATTTTAGACAAGATTTTCCCAGTCGCAACAAAGTTTTTTTTCCTTCCATAAACCTGACGCTTTGGTCTTTCGTGATTTCTTGCATCGTTTCTGAAATATTCGTTTTGCTTAAGGTGTTTAATTTCGAGATTTACTTATACGGAGACAACCTGTAAGAGATAATCAGTGTCTTTGAAAAGAGAAAAAAATCAAAGTAACATAATTTACTTGGCCACTCTACATTAAAGCAGCCATTTTCCAGTTCGGTTCATACAGAATTTTATCATCCGAAATTTCTGCTTCACTACCAGCGTCAATGTTTGAAAAGGTTTTATTGAGTTCTATAAAAAAAAAGTTACTTCTCGTCTTTGAAAACAGCTTTTCAGTGTAGTATTTAGAGAAACGAAAACTTTGAACGAAATAAAGTCCGAAAATATATATGCTATCAAATTGCATCAATAGAAATTCAGAGTTAGCAATTATGTTAAAGCGCTCGATTCGTAAACTACATGATCTTAGATGAAAACATGTCCGCCGTTTCCATGGTAACTGCTTGAGTAAATTTGTCTTAAATATGTACCACTTGAAGGGAGCAATGACACAGATGCACCGATGACTGCGACTAACATGGAATGTAATTCGGTCAAATTTACGGTAACTTTTCGAAAGTAAATAATCCATTTCTAATATATTCCCAGTATATCATAATAACCTCCAATTAGACAACAAGATCAAAGACATTTTCGATAAACCACCCATAAATGCAATGAAACAATCACCTAACCTATCAGCTATCCTCACCTCTACCAAATATCTAAACAATAGAAACCAAACAGGAAATTACAAATGTAACAAACCTCGTTGCTTAGTTTGCAAACATTTAATAATAGCTAATACATTTTCCGTACCCAACATCAATATCAGGATACAGCCACCTAACCTCACCTGCGATACCCATAATGTAATCTATTATTTATTCTGCAACTTATGTCCTAATAGTGGATATATTGGTGAGTCTGGAAACAATTTTAGATTTCGTTTTAATAACCATAAACAAACAATACGTCAAAACAACCCTTATTCCCCCATAGCTAAACCCTACAATCAAACAGGACACATTAGAAAACTGCAAATGTTTATTAATAGATTCGATTTTACTTCCACATTCACACGCAGAAAAAAAAAAAAACATATTGGATTTTAAAATTAAATACACATAAACTAGGGTTGAATAGGGACTTAGGTGTTTTAAATCTTTATAAATATTTCAATAGTTAAGCAATTTTTTTAGATATAGTAAAAAAAAAAAAAAAAATTTTTTTAAATATTTATGACAGTTAGATTTAAGTTAGGAATATCCGAACAGTGACGTTCCATATCACGTGACGTCCGCGTCTCGCGAAGGACGCTACTTGCTAACAAACAGTAATTTTAATTTATTTGTAACAAACAGTTATTTCTGATGAAAAATTGAGGACAATTTGAAATATCAAATATATATATAAATAAATAAATACTTTCATAAAATAAAACATTAGAATTTTTAATTTGAAACTTTTTCTATATATATAATATATTCCTAATATATAGCATAATATATATTGTGAAGATGTGATATATAATATAATATATTCCTAATATATAATAATATATAAATGTGGCAAGACTACCCAATTACCTCCCCTGTCTTATGATTTTTATAAATAAGATGGGCTACAATCGAACATTTCCCTCAAAGATTTGGCCCCTGCTGGCGAATTATCAAACCAGATGGAGGAGCAGTTAAATTGGAGCAATATATCGACATTTTGATAGTAACGACGGCACAAGGCCATTAGATTCCCCTGAGGAACAAGGCCCCGATAGTGACGATTCAGAGATCGATACCAGAATGGCTCCCTCAAAACAGATTCTGATAATCAGCTTTCAGAATCAGAGCACCCCACTCCAAGTAGGAGACAAAGATAATATGAGACGAAATACTTCTGGTCGACTGTTCCCGTAACACCTAAAAGCCCAGTTCAACTGCCACCGAGACGATCCCAGAGAATTGTGAAAAGACCCAGTCAACTGGATGATTTTGTGTCGGACTCGGAGAAAACAAAGCCGGGAAGAATATGAAAAGACAACCCAATTACCTCCCCTGTTTTATGATCTTTATAAATAAGTCATGCCATCTTAGCCAAAAGTGGCAAGACTCTTCACTTATGTTTAATAAAGGCACATTAAGCCGAACTAGACTCTGGGTTTTCATTACAATATCTAAAAGTTAATTCTATGCAACATGATAGTAAATTTCTAAAACTTAGAAATTTATAACTTTGGGTTAATTGCCTACCGTGGAAAAGGATTTATTTTAAAGAAAGATGATAAAAATCTTAAAAAGATTTCTCTGCTTACAACAGATGACATGGTTTCTTGTCTTTCGTAAAGAGAAGCTGATTCTTCGTCGCATCGCTATATAGCTGAATGAATTACTTCATTCGCATCTCATTCGGAAATAATGGCGTCTAAAAGTTAAAATGACACTGTTATGATTTGTTTAATACCATCTAACAGCTAATGATATTCGGGAAGGCTGAAATGCTTATAAAGCTGATGGTGCCGGAACAAGACGATAGGGCTTCAGTAAATACGGTGATGGAATTTGTACGAACAATTTGGAGATTATTCAGTCAAAGAAATCTTGACTAAATCTCCACAAACGGTTTTTCGATTTATACTTTAGCCTTGCCAATTTCTAGTCGTAATTTTGGACTGCCATTTTTCTAGACTCTAGACTCGTTCTTTTCAAAAAAAAAAAAAGAAAGTACACAAAGGAAAGACAAAAGGGAAAGCAAAGAGAAAGAAGTACAAAAAAAAGTAGCAAAGAAATGCTGAAGTAAATAAATACGAAAAAAAAAAACGAAAGAGATAAGGCTGAGATAAAAAGAAGAGAAAGGAAGTAAAGAAAGAAAGAACAAGGATAAAAGAAAGAAAGAAAGAAAGATGAGAAAGAGGAAAGGCTAAGTTAAAATAAGAACAAATGTGTAAAGAAAGAAGGAAACAAAAAGAACGAGGATAAAAACAAAGAAAGGTTAAGAGATATAAAGACAAAAAAATAAAAGAGGAAAGTCTGACATAAAAGAAAAAAGGGCTAAAGAAAAAGAGAACGACTAAGGATAAAAGAATGATAGAAAGAAGAAGAAAGATGAAAGAATTAGAGAGAGAAAGACTGAGGTGAAAGAAGAAAAGCGTGTAAATAAAGAAAGAAAGAAAGAAAGAAAGAAAGAAAGAAAGAAAGAAAGACATCGAGAAGCAAACAAACACAAAGATAAAAAGAAACAAACAAGATAAAAAAATGAAATAAAAGATAAGTAAAGGCAAAGACAGAAAGAAGGAATGCTGACGGGTAAAGAAAGAAAGTAAAAAGAAAGAAAGAAAGAAAGAAAGAAAGAACGAAAAAAGGGGAACAAAGATAAAAGGAAGAAAGAGAAAAGGCTGGGATAAAAGACGAATAACGTGTAAAGAAAGAGATAAAAAGAATGAAAAGTGAAAGAAAGAAAGAAAGAACGAAAGAAGGCTGACAGGATAAAGAAAGAAAATAAAAATAGGGAGAATAAAGAAAGAAAGAGGAACAAGGATTGAATAATAAGAGAAAGAAAGAGGGCAAAAGAAAAAAAACGTGTAAGGAAAAAAACAATGGCAAAAAAGAAAGAACGAAGAGAGTTTGACATAAAAGAAGAAAAAAGAGTAAAAGAAGAAGCAAAGAAAGAAGAAAAAAAAAAGAAAGAAAGAAAGAAAGAAGCAAACAAACAAGATGGAAAACTCAAAATGACAAAAATCTATCGACTGCCATTTTATTGAAGTAAACAGTATTTTAAAAGCCACTAGCGTCGAAATAATCGTGTTCAAAATTCATCTAACCTTAAACTGGAACGTTAAATAGGCGAAAGCAAACCATTGGAAATACATGAATCAACTTCTCTCTGAATTAAATGAATTTAGTCATTCATTATTAATACAGAAACAACAACAATGTCTTCTATTGATTAAAAGAGAACAAAAAAATATTTTGTAAAGCGATAGTGTGGAACATAATACCTGATTATCTCGGACCAGCCAGGAACAAGTATAAATCTTGTTTCATTGTACGTACTTAAAACTAAATTTTACATCCGAAAATTAATAGATTTTGTAATTGCTTACTAGTTTTGTCAGAGAAACATTTTATAAAGTTTTCACGTTACTATTGTTAAATCTGTGATCAGACATTTGCAATGAAAAGAAACAAAATAATGATATAGATTTTTTTTCTTATTGGGACCTCATCAAAATGTTGACAATACAAAGAATTTGAGAAAAAAAGATTTTATTTTAAATTTTATTTCCGTGTCTTTTCAGAGACCAGTCTTTGTCTTTTTACTTTATCTTTCTGAAAATTTCTGCCAATTCATTGCGCGTCCCTTCTAATGCAAAATAACTTTAGAGCAAAAGTTCTGGGCCATTTTTCACAATGAATGTGATTATGCAGCTGTCATTGTAACAATAGCCATTTGGCGCAATGACGTCATACCTTTATTCCACTCTGGCGTTTTGTCCTCATGAATCCTTCACAAGACAATATGGAAAGCTTAGTAATGTTGATAAGAAGTACACGGTTACATGAAAGAGAGTTAGATGAATAAAAGACACAGTAAAAGGTTTATTTGAATCAAATAAAAGAAATATTATTTCAGCTGAGTTATGTATGGTTGTTGTTAAATTTTATTGGACAGATTTATATCTGAGATTTTATGCTTATAAACGCCTGAAAGTCATTGTTCGAAACTCAATCAATTAATAAATACTTTGAATCCCTGATTGATAAAATTCTGATTACTTAAATGCAAAGCAACAATTACGAGAAAATTATATCTATTAGCGTCGTTATATATATATATATATATATATATATATATATATATATATATATATATATGTAAGCAAATATATGGATATAGAAAATCCGACAGTATGAATAAAAAATATAAAAAAAACAAACAAAAATCTTAATATGCAATTATGCTGTATTAATGTTAATATAATGTATACGTCGGACGTTTCGGTCTATTTTAGACCATCATCAGGATATGTTCATATTTGGATTAGTCGTGCTCTTATGTCCATCGTCTTTTCATATTGAATTTGAATATGTTCTAATGTTAATTATGTTTTATGAATATGTCCTGATGATGGTCTAAAATAGACCGAAACGTCCGACGTTGACTTTATATTAACATTAATATTTCATGATTTCATATTAAGATTTTTGTTTGTTCCTTTTTTTCTGTATATTTTTCTCATATATATATATATATATATATATATATATATATAAGTGATTAAGGTCAACACTCAGAGGCGACTGGCTGTTTTATGCTGGACGCCAGGCGGCCTGACGATTGCGTCCAGCATGAAACAGACTGTCGCCTCTGAGTGTTGACTTCAATGTTCACCTTTATATTTATATACGCTCTATCTCTGATATTGAGCACTTTATACCATGAATATAGCACACCTTAAAATTATTTTTCTTTATATATATATATATATATATATATACAGGTAATAATCCAAGTGAATTCTAATAATATATTAAAACTGACCCACAAAAAGAGCTCACTGCGTTAACTGGGTATTGAACTCACACTCTTTAGGTCCTGTCACTGGATCTAACCAACACGTTTATCCACTGTACTATGTGTCAATACCCGGTTAAGGGAGTGGAGAACTTACAGAGGGGAATTAACAGGAGATAACTGACATCCACTAAACATGGCACGTGTCACTAGAACAGTCTACCCCAGTGAGTGGAATAAAGGGTTCAGTTCGAAATTCCAACCACCTGAAGAAGGTCGGAGCGTACAACGGGCGAAACGTTGTAATAATATGGCGAAAAAGATGAGGACAACAGTCCGAATAATATAAATAGTGTAAATAATACCTCATCTCAGAAATATAGATTGTTAACTTATTTAAAGAAACTTGCATAAAAGAGGGACTGCTGCCCACATACACATATATATATATATATATCATTACATAAATATTTCATTCTACTTTGCTATAGAAAAATATTATTTATGAGCATAAAGACTAATGGTGATGGACATTCGAGATATTTTTAATTAAATAATTAAACTTATTGGAGATACAGAATTAGACATAAATTATTTACCGAAGTTGATTAATAACTGAGATCCAGATAACAACATGCCTTACATTTTAAATTACCTGAGATCTTTCTATTTCGTGTCAGAACGACCCTACTAAATAAGATACGAAAAACACAACATTTCGTGAGACTTCTGCTGATCTGATATTACCTGTGACAGTTTTTTGTTCAATTATTAACACAGATCCATCAGTCCCAAGTATTTTACTACGTCTTTCATACTAAAAAAATCACTTTCTGTCTATATTGCTGAGATGAGGTATTATGTACATTATTTACATTATTCGGACTATTGTCCTCATTTTTGTCGCCATATTTATTACAACGTTTCGGCCGTTGTACGCTCCGACCTTCTTTAGGTGGTTGAAATGTCCTCACGGACACATGGCACAGTGGATAAAGGCGTTAGTTAGATCCAGTGACAGGACCCAAAGTTCAGTAGCCGGCTAAGGCAATGGAGAACTTTCAGAGGGAAATTAACAGGAGATAACTGATAACTGACATCCATCAAAACATGGCACGTGAAACTAGAACAGTCTACCCCAGTGAGCGAAATAAAGTGTTCAGTTCGACATTCCAACCACCTGAAGAAGGCCAGAGTGTACAACGGCCGAAACGCTGTAATAAATATGGGGACAAAGATGAGGACAATAGTCAGAATAATGTAAATATAGTAAAAAGTCACTTTAAATTTATAATCATTGCGTGACAAGTATAATCTCTTTGCAAATAAAGTAAACTCCTGTCTGTTACTCTGACTTTCAAATTAATAAATTTTTGGCTAATTTATTTGAGTGCTTAACAAATATCTGTTAGTCTTGCAGTGTGTCTTCTAACAAAATCAATCTCTTTTGACAACAGGAAATTAAGCGTATTTCCTTTTAAGACTTAAAGGCGTTAGTTGTAACACTGAACCGAAGAAATCAAGAAAGGATCGATTGACATGAAACACCGAATACCAATATGAAGACTTCGCGACTGGTGGGACGAGGTAATGTACAAATGATTAGTCAGAATGAACTCAATAATTACTTGAACCGAAATATCTCTGTTCAATCTTCGTTCCCATTGTCGAGGAAGTATGATGCAAGAAATGTGACATCGTCAAGGAAACCTTGTTTTAGTCGCGTTAACGTCCGAGGCAAGATTAAAATTGAATTATTAAACTTTCTGATGAATTCCACAGGTTTCAGTTGAATCTTTGAAGTCTTAAAAGCGACAAATTCCGAAGAGAATACTTTTATTCAAGGAAAACGTGATTGGTCATTAGAATTGGCTTCCTTTTACTAGGATTTCTATTGCTTCATGACAGACAGTATGGTTAATGGTATGCTTTCTTTGCTCTTTATTTCTGGTCATACAAAGAGAAAGACAGGATTGTATTCCTGAAGGGCCGTAAAACATAAAAAAACGACAAACATGATGAAAATGAAGCTTTAAAAAAATAGAAAAAGAAAACATAAATTTAAGAAGTTTTACTTTCGATATTTCTTGGTAACACTGGTCGACACGATTCTTGGTGCAAAAAAAAAAAAAAAAAGACGTCTTTTAGCTAATTTGATAGTGCTGATTCCGAAAATGACCTTAGTTTTTCATGGTTAGCTACCGTTTTTGTAGCACTGAAATTGCTCATTGTTTTGAAAAAAGATCAATTTATGATCTTGGCTGATGACAAAATTTGATTAATGAAGGTCGTAGAAACCCATCAATGTTCAGGTAGGACGAGAAATTTATGTCAGCCACCTTAAAATAAACTATTTTTATAAGAAATTTTAAAACAGCAGTACCGATTTTTTCCAATTTATCGACAAAATTCAAATTAACTGATAAACTTTATCAGTAATACACTTTAGTAAATCTTCTAATTAACGTGACATCAAAAAAAAAATCAAAGCCTAAAATCTTCTGTTTGATATTCACAAATTTATCTCATCTCTATGGAATGAAACCAAGCACATTGAGAGCATTTTGTTTTCACAGTTGGAAAGAAACTCCAACAAAAGACATCCTAATTGAAGCACTTATTGCATTGCACATGATACTGATGGAGTATCAAAAGGGACTTAAATAACATTGAAGATGACAGACAATCAAGAAAGATAAAATATTTACCATACTTATGTTCACGAAGGTTTTATTTCTGCTGTTAGTTTATTAAATGATTTGATGAAAATACTTGGTTTTGTTATATTCAATCGTGTTATTTTTAAAAACTTAGAATCTGATTGTTATTGCAAAAATAGTATTTCTCAATAAGTAGACCAATATTTGTTGGTTTACGCGCCTATTCTATTGTACATAATACGGCTGGATTATCAAAAGGGACGCAAATACCATTGAACGTATTAATTGAATTAACAGATTTCTACGATTTTATTTTGAGAAATATTGCCATCGGTCAATATCATATGTGCAGAAGAAAAATGAAAAAATGCTTTTTTTCCAAAAATGAGGCATTTCTGTACAGCGAAAACGGTAGCTAACCAAAAAAAGGTAAGGTCATTTTCAGGTTCAGCGTCCTCAAATTTTCTAAAAAAGATGTTTGGTGTCTCGACACCTTTCAAATTTTTTTTTTTTTTTTTTTTTTGACGAGTGTGATTTCTAAGCTAAA